GAGGCTGATATCATTTATTTGATCGATAGCCAAGAAGAACAATCGATCGAGTAAGTGATATCAACCTCATAGAAGATCAAATAAAGATTAGTTCCTAAACTATGCTTTTCTTCTTATCAATGTTTTATTAATAGCATGTCAACGTTCAAGGAATGCGGGTCTTTCGAGTTAGTGCAATGCCATGTACCCAATAATATACTCGAAATTTTCACTGCATTTTTCATTCATACCGGAGACGCGTGCTACTACCACTACACCACTGTTTTCGCTCACCACTCAGTTCTCTTAGGTATATACGAAACACCAAATAATATTTGCAGAATTACTTCATGATGAATTTTTGCGAATAAAAACAAATCATTATCAACGGACAATCAGTCACTCGACAACCGCCTATACGAAGAGGACCTGACGAGCGAGGTTACTTTAAAACACTGATCCACTCTAGAAGATTCGACTCTATGCCAAGATGAAACCTGTATCGCAAGTACGAACGGCAAAGTACAATCGACTTGGATCATTGCGGCTTTGGAGACGAAGATGTCGAAATGTTAGCCAATCAAAACTTTGATAAGAGTTCCGCGTCACCTTTTAATATGAAAGTATATGTCATCTTCAATGAAGTTTTCGTTCTTACAAGTACATTCACAAAGCGAACAGCTATAACTGACTGGCTTCTCAGCATCATAAAGATATTAGATCTGCTTGACCATCCTGACAGCATCAAAAGTTGATAGGTTCTCTTTGTACATGAACATGAACATCCGTACATGAAAATCGGGAGTCTCTCACTGAAAACGTATCTCAACCGATTTTGAAGAGTGCAATGGAAGGTAGAGGAGTGAAGCAACACACGAAGAGAACGACGCAGTCAAACTTGGTCAAAAAGAGCAGTAGTGATCTTGAAGAGTTTCTAAAGCAGCCCACTCTCTACAGATTAGTTACTGTGTGAATGAATGTGACTGGTGATAGATCTGGTAACAAAAAATACTAGACACTGCAGAGAAGAGCTTCACTTTGCCACATATTGCTATAGCGGTGTCTAACTTTATAGAAACCATTACGTACTCCAAACACAGAATTCACGTCAGTCGCAAGATGTAAGTGAAATCGAATGGATCTAGATCATATATATATATATATATATATATATATATATCGAATCACTGCAGGAATTTGAAAGTATCAAAGTGACATGAACTCTTGGAGACACAGAACTAATGCACAGCAGAAATTCACTGAATACGACAATTGTAGATAATCAATTAATTGAATAAGGGCGTAATCAAGGAACGCTCTGATTCTCCAGCAGGTCCATCGAAGCCCTTCTTCAAAGGGTCTAAATGACCTGTGTAGAGAGAGAACTGAAACCCTTGAAAACGACGATGAAAATCGTACAACCAATGACTGTTACCAATATCGTCAATGATCTTAGCAACTCACGACATTAAAGTAGGAAAAAATCAAACAGTTCAAATTGCAAAAGAAGGAAATCTAGCAGAAAATCCAATCTACGTTAGGAAATGCTACGCGCTTTCATCAGGTCAGAGCACCTGCCATACACAAGATAACGTGTGACAAAGGAAACGATTCAACTAGAGATTTATTAAGTTTGTTCGAAACAAGAAGACTAAGTGTAATTAGCTAAACAATATTTGCTCAAGCGTTAAGTTTGAAAAAAAGAAAAACCAAGAACTTTGTTGAAGCTAAGGGGGGCACACACGGTGATTTTGACTAAAATTTAATGACAGAAGAGGAAAATCATGATAATCAACGACTTAATTAGGTTATTCAACGCAAGATGGTCAATAACTGGAAATGTTGAATACCTGTTCATCATGTGTGTGTGGAAAATCCTCTGGCAACATCTCCTTGAAGTTGGGATCGTCGACAAAGGAAGCCATTTTGAAGTAGTAATGCTAGACGTAATAGAACCGCAAAATGAAATATTACATAAACAATTTTGCATTTACAAACTGGTTAGAGACGATTGTGTCCACGAAGGCCTACAGTTGTGTCAATAGGACATTTGTCGAGCGATCGATAATAACGGATAGCGATTGCTCGTTTAGGTGATGTACATTGTTAGCATGAGAACACCACCATGTATGGTGAAGATGAAACTCAATTTCAACACTGTGAGAGATTCTTGTCGATGAAGCGCAATCGGAATCAATTTCCAGTTTATTCTTTATATTTCTGCCTGCCATTTTTCAGTTGAAAAGCATAGTTTTTTCGATAGTTTTTCGTCAATGTTTTACCACTTCATAATCGTTGGTGCTGTTAGATGACACTACCACATACAGTAGACGTTTATCCATCAGTTGGGCTAGGAGGCTCGACTGAGGAACGAATTTGGCATTTTCATTAAGAACCTCGGTCAGGTGCAAAAACTTTACAGCAGCACAGCTTAACATGCTGCCCATGACTATCTTATCGTTGAGAACACTGAAAACAAGTCCCACATACATGGAAGGAGAAGTTCTGTTCTTTCAAGTGGACACACCTTGTTGAGCATATTCTCAGCTAACAAAGCAACTTTTATTGGCGCCTGTTCTATTAGGTTCGAAACTAAGTTCTGCCATATTTTTTTGTTATTTCTTTTTATTTGCAATAAATTCATTCCCTAGTCTTTTTCTATCGTGTTTGATGCTATTCGAGAGCTCGTGATCTCGATAATCTAAAGCCATTTAATTTTTGCAACTGTGTAAATTTTTCTTTGATCAGTCTGGTAACGAAGATTTGTAGCACTTTTTGTTATTTCTATTTACTTACGATAAAATACTTCGTGGTCTTTTTATCGTGTTCTGTGTCATACGAAGGCTTGTAATTTCGAGATTACAAATGTGTGAGCCTTTTTATTTTCTGTAGCTGTATGAATTTTCTTTCACTCTAGAATGAACACCTTGAATTGTGACCGTCTTTTAAATATTTCACTTGGGTCGTTCATTCTGCAACCAAAGTAACGCAAAACTATTGAGAGCATTCAACCACAAAACGGGTAAGCTACCAGCTTCAGAAAAATGGTTCAAAAGTTTTGTTATAGCGACATCAACACGTCAAAATCGTCTACGACAGCTTTATCTAAGCGGCATCAAGACAACGCTCATTCACATATCACGCGTCTGACAGTGCAAAAGATCGAGGAATTTGGGGTGGGAGCGTTTACTTCATCCACAGTATAGCCCAGATGCTGCTGCAGATGGTTACCATCTTTTCAGGTCTCTACAACATTCCTTGGTTGTATTCGCTTACCCACTTTCTACGATAAAAACCATGTTGATTGAAATTACCTTGATTGCGAAGCCCATAATGATTATTATAATTGTCAAGTATGGTATGGATATAAAGATTCACGGTGTTCTCTATGCTTATTTACCCTTTCGTTACAATCTCGATAGCAACTCGAACTCGTCTCCAGCTTATCACCACCAACAACAATGACATAGTAAGAATATTGCATATTTAGGAAACTAGAAGGTCTCGGTAAAGAAAAATTCAATTCTTTCACTATCCTCGCTAATGTCTCCATGAATCACTCTCATGACTGTCGAAGTTATTTTGCAGCCCCAATATTTTAGAAAGTCGTCTTCAAAGTGTATATGTCATAAATTTATGCCAAATGGATCCAATCACTTAGGAAAATATTTATAGAATGAACAAAGTGGTGCAGCTGGAATTAGTTGGAGCAAATTATTACCATAAGTTCATGATGAATGAGGAAGTCCGAAATCCATAAAAGCATCATCATCAATATCTTTGACTCATGCAGACGCAACTCTTCTGCAACTCAACTCAACTCTCACTGTTGTTATAAAGTACAAGAAGAATCTTTTTGCCTTTTAGAAGCTTAGTCAAAGGATTCCAGCATAACTGAGACAGCTTGCGCAAGATCTTTTGATGGGTGGTTTGTGCGAAGTTAAGTGGATATCGACAAAATTCCCATTTCACTGGTGTTCTCCTTACTAAGATTTTCATTATATTTCTTTACAGTGATGCTGTAAACTACTGAAGGGCTTCCTCTTGCAATATACCAACACTCTGGGGACGACTGGGACATGGCGCTAACCTCACTCCGCCGCGGTGCGTAGTGGAGAACAGTCCGCAGTGCCGCGTACTTAGTGAAACCGGACTTTGCGATGAAGGCTGCAGTTCGATTGCCCTCCAACGACGCCTCACAGAACTTTTTTGGCGTTGCTTTTTGGTGTCGATTAGTTTTCAAGGTTCTACTGTGCGTATTTACGATAGCAAAAAAATTTCACTACTTATTAAGACGAAACGTAGATCCATAGAGTAACAAGGGAACCAACGCAAATGTTCCGCAGTACATATTGAAACCAGGTTCCTTCTGAAGTGTCGTACACTGCGAAAAATATGTTTTTCGATTCCGAATAACCGCCGACAGAAATGCTAAAAAAGTTAAATAGCGCTGTTACCTTGTAGATATAGGTTGCGTATCAAGAAGTCGTGAAATGTCGGACAACTTAGCGCTTTTTTTGCTATAATAATTGCGTATAGAATAAACTTCAATACTAATCGGCCCCAATAAACATTACCGAAAAACTGCAGTGAAGCGTTGTGGGAGGACAATCGAACTAGCACTCTCTTCGCCATGCCCGGGATCACTAATCATACGGCACAATGGACTGGTTCCCGTGGCGCACGGTGGGACGGAGCTAGTGCCATGTCGCAGTAGTTCTCGAAGTGTTAAGTGCACAATGCATTTCTCATAGTAGAGAGTTAGAGTCGAAAAATTAGTAATTTCGTTACTTAAAAAAGTGAATACTGTATGAAGTATTCATGACTGATTTGAAGAAGATTAACGAGGAATTTCCGTTTTGGCCGGAATCTAACGCGTGCATCTATACTCATTTTCGACAATGCACCAATTTCAAATTACTCCGAAATTCTGGTATTTTAACTGCTCTATTTCGCAGCGTTATGGCGTTACATATATATATATAGTATATCTAAAGGAATTAAGTGGTGAGCAAAAACACGGCTTCAAGCGGGATTCAAACCCGGGTTTTATCCATACCGGGGACGCGTGCTACTACCACTACACCATCGAGGCACATTTACGCCACCACTTAATCTTCAACATCTCTATGTTAGCTATCAGCCACCAACCTTAACAGGTTTAGTCGGGTATACGATTTCGCTTTATGAGCCCAGTTGAGCTGACAGCCACTGTTAGATGTAGAACTTCGAAAATCTAATATTTTCATTGCCTCTTTACTAGTAGTGTTGGTGGCTGATAGCTAACATAGAAATGTTTGAAGAATAAGTGGTGGCGCGAATGTGCCTCGGTGGTGTAGTGATAGTAGCACGCGTCCCCGGTATGGATGAAACGCGGATTCAATTCCCGACTGGGGCAGTGTTTTTTGCACACCACTTCAATTTCAAAATAACTCGTTCGTGAACGTTAACTCACTCATGATTGCGTCCATTTCCATTTTGTTAAAAACCTTCCACTTTTTGCAAAAATGATGATATTTTGATAATCAGAAGGCATGAGAAGGCGACAGAGATCACGGCAGGAATATAAATGGGGCAAGTCATATTGATCAGTAACTACGAGTGGTATGTATACAACTCTATTTATTATATTTTACTATGGCCCATAATAAACAAGCACGTCACTGTCGACTTTGTAAGACTTTTGCAACCTATCCTGACTATTTCTTAGTAACTTCTTGCTTCCGAATGTTCCATACAATGACCATAAGATGTTGTAGTGATAAAATTATCGTGATATTCAATTAACAGTCAAATACCGCTCAATAATGAACCAACAAGAAATATGCAAAGCATACTAGTTTTCACTAGACTACGAATAATTCGTAGAAATCAGCTATTTCTTTGTATTCAAATGGCAAAAGTAGGCGAGTGTATGGGAAGGGATTCCCATAGGAAGCAGCTGTGAGACCAGATTTGTGAATTACTGGCATACGATTATAACCATCTGCACGTAGTCACCCATAAGTACTTTGAGAGGCTGAAAAAGCGGAAATACAAGGTAACGCAACTCAGCTTACATACTTCAATTCTATACCACTAAACATTTCTTTTTATTTCTCGCCGTGAGGGTTATTCTCACGCACCAGGATGTCATCACCACTTGGATTTCCCTGCTCATAATTACTATGGCCGAGGAATTGCAATAGCGTAGTCCGGCATAGAGATTTGCCTCTGATTGAGAAAGGAGATAGCAAGGACAATCTCGCTCTGAAGTGGTTCTATAAAGCTCGCTGCAAGCAGTGCCGGCCAACTGTGAAAGATAATCTGATAATATATTTTGAGCCTTTCATGAGGTCTGTTATGGCACTTCTACAATGCAAAACCAGTGCTTCGGTATTACAGCCTCCTTACTTGCACGGTGCCCTTCGGTTCAATCAGTTCCGAAGGTAGATATCCCCTATAAAGAGTGACTGACGCCGAAATATTTAAACTTATCGCTAGACGATAAAATCACCCAGAGTTGCAAACTTGATTGCTCGTGGATGGAGAAACATATTTGTCATGCCTTTCACTTTTTACACACACGAGCAATCAAGTTTACAACACTGCCGGCTAGGTGATTCTATCACCTTGCGACAAGTTTGAATATTTCGGCGTCGGTTACTCTTTATAGAGGATATAGGGAACATGTAAGTTTAATCAACTGGCAATATGGAAAACCATCTTATGGGATTTGTGCATCAGATTTTTGAAAACTATGCATGACTGTGCACATACGTATAGTCAGAATCAAACTATTTGTCTTTCGGTTCTGCCATTTTATGTCGTCTAGTAAACGTTTTAAGAGATGATTGAATGCACGTTCCACGGACCTCCCTCTTTGAGGGATCCCGACCGGTTAGTCGCGAGGGCACGTGGCGCGTCCCCAGGTGGTGGATAGGGGAATAAAACGCGAACCAAAAGCGACCGTGTGCTTCCCAGAGACGCAGGTGGATTCAGGGGACGAGCTCCCTGCTTCTGCAGTGCCGACTTGACAAAACTCTATTTCTACGAGTCAAGTCGGCCAAAAGCCTGCAATCAAGCGGCTGGGAAGTACATGGGAGGCGGTTAGGAGTCGCCTCCAACAAATAAGCTCCTCCCGCTCCTCCGAGAGAGACTGGCAAGCTACTCGTGAGTACCCAGCCCCCACGTTTAGAGCCTGGCAAGCTACACGTTGGGTATCAAAAATGCCAAAAACAGTAACAAATATGGGCCTCATTCCCCTGACCCCGAAAGAGCCCCTGGTACGGCAGCGCCAGGTAGGACGAGTACGGAGAGGCTGCTAAAATTTCAGGGCCGAACTAGGCTGCCAAGATCGAAACGGACTAAAATGACGATCTGTACCTACAATGCAAGAACCCTTGCTCAACAATCCGCTGTAGAAGATCTGTTGATTCAAGCAAGAAGAATAAGGTACGACGTCATTGGCCTGGCTGAGACGAGAAGGCGCCATCCTTTTCACGCTGTTCATGACACCGGAGAAGAACTGTTCCTTGGAACATGCGATCGCAGAGGTGTCGGTGGCGTTGGCGTCCTCGTCAAATCGAATTTGACCGTGAACATGATTCGTTCGAACAACTAACAACCCGCATCGGACGATTACGGTTGAAAGGATGTGGTTCTATGCCGGCTTTGACCATCTTCGTTGCTTACGCACCAACATCAAGCTATGACGAAGACGAAGTCGAAGCGTTCTATATGGACCTCGAAAAATTCTCCAGAGAAGATCATACATTCTTCAAGGTCATTGTCGGGGATTTTAACGCAAAAATTGGACCTAGAAGAACGTCTGAAGAACGTCACATAGGGACCCACGGACTAGAATGGAATGAACAGGGTGAGAGGCTATCCGAGTTTATCATGACGACCCAAACCATCCATGGTAACTCGCAATTCCAAAAGCCTCTCTCTCAGCGATGGACGTGGGAGTCTCCCAATGGAGAGTACCATAACGAAATAGATCACATCTTAGTAAATCGAAGGTTTTGTCTGACCGATGTCGCTGTTGTTTCCAAGTTCTACACGGTATCAGACCATCACCTCCTTCGCGCAGCGTTTCGTTTTTCGATGAGAGGAGAGAAAGCCGCTAAATTCAATCAACGAAGTCCCAGAACTACCATAGTGGGATGTAATCGAATCAATAGTCGGCTCTTGGGTAGATGCCGCTGTCGACAACATCGACGAAGAATACGATCGACTCGTTGAATATCTTCACGTTGGCGCTAAAAAAGCCGAAAGTCCTAAGGTCACGAAGAGACGCTTGTCTCCGCAGACACTCGAGCTGATACGTCAACGTGGAATCGCACGAGCCGCAGGCAACCGAAACCTTACGTCCGAACTTGCGAAACGATGCAGAGAAGCGATAAAAGAAGACCTTAAAGAGAGAAGAGCAGCAGTTATGGCAGAAGCTGCAGAAGCTGGGAAGAGCATTCGCAAGGCCCAGCGGGGCTTCGCCAACTATAAGACCAAGATGATTGCACTCCGATACCCTGACGGGACACTTACAGCTTCCAGAAGGGCTATAGAGAAAATCATCCACCAGTACTACTCGGATCTCTTCGCTAGCCATGTTCTCTTACCGTCATATAAACTGAAAGAGGACGAATATGTCGTTCCACCTGTCCTTCCTTCCGAAATCCGACATGCTATATCGTCGGTGAAAAACAGAACAACACCCGGTCCAGACAGGATTAGACCAGAACACCTGAAGAACCTGCCGCCAGTTCTCATCAACACCCTGGCTCGGCTCTTCACTCGCTACCGTCGGAATGCAAGGTCCCTATTCAATGGAAAACCAGCAAGACCGCATTGTTGTTCAAAGAGGGGGACCATCACGACATAGGCAATTATCGCCCAATCTGCTTGCTGTCCGTTGTCTATAACTCTTTACTCGAGTCATCCTGAACAGGATTGACAGAACACTAGACGAAGGACAGCCATGCGAACAAGCAGGGTTCAGAAAAGGATTTAGTACCATGGACCACATCCACATGATCACAAGACTCATTGAAGTTTCGCGAGAGTACAAACAACCACTCTGTCTCACTTTTATCGATCTGAAAAAAACCTTTGATTCAGTGGAAACAGAAGCGGTTATAGAGGCTCTGGATAACCAAGGTGTCCCTACTCGGTACATAATGATCCTTCGTGAGCTTTATAAAGATTTCACGACCAGAATATCTCCATTCTACAACAATATCACTACTGACGTAAGAAGAGGGGTTCGACAAGGCGATACAATATCGCCAAAACTATTCACTGCCACCCTACAAAACGTCATGCGAACATTAGAATGGGACGAAATGGGAGTGAAAATTGACGGTCGACAATTAAACCATCTTCGCTTTGCTGACGATATCGTTCTCATAACACCAAACATCAGCCAAGCGGAACGAATGTTGACTGATGTCGATAACGCCTGTGGAAAGATCGGTCTTCAACTGAATCTAACGAAAACAATGTTCATGAGGAACGGATGGGTTTCTAATGCCCCATTCACGCTCAACGGAACGACAATCTCCGAATGCTCCAGTTACGTCTATCTAGTCGTGAAATCAACATGATGAACGACCTAGCTCCAGAGTTAAGCAGGAGGAAACGAGCGGCTTGGGGAACGTTTAAGAGCATCGAAGATGTAGTGAAGAGGACAAAGAACATCCGACTCCGTGCCCACCTTTTCGACTCGACAATTATCTCTGCCCTAACATATGCAGCAGAAACCTGGTCGCTACGTAAGCAGGATGAAAGATCACTTGCCGTTATCGAACGCGCAGTCGAAAGGTCGATGCTAGGAGTATCTCGTGTTTCGCAAATGAGACAAAGGATCCGAACTTCCGACCTACGTCAACGATCGAAAATCAGAGACGCCGTTCTACACGCCAGGATATCGAAAATAAGGTGGGCCGGACACGTGATGCGCTTCAACGACAACCGATGGACGAGAGCCGCTACCGACTGGATTCCTCGGGACGTCAAGCGCTCTAAAGGAAGACCACTGACCCGTTGGTCCGATTTCTTCACGAAAGCGATGGAAGAAAGATATGATGCTCAGCGAATTCCTAGAGCAAGGAGGACCCACTGGGCTACTCTTGCACGCGATAGGGAAAAATGGAAGAGTTGCTGGTACCCGCTCGAGTCACTCGACGACCAACGGGACGACAGGTGATACAGGTGAGTAACGTTATTTGTCTGTTGACTGTTCCTCGTTACGACACTATGCGGTAATCAAGTCACTGTTTTTTTTTCTGTAATAGACTCGCCCTATCCGTTAGAAATTTGCTGGCAAAAGTGAACCGTTTTCCAGCATCGACGCGCAGGACATGAAAAGTTGTCTTCAGTTGGCTTTTATCACAAAACTAAGGCAGATATAACAAGTCT